ATAGGGTCTCAAAATTCAACTCATACTGTTACTCAGATGTGAAAAGGTACAGCTTCATTTTGCTCATAACAAATCTGGCATTTCTCTGGAGCCCTCATCTGTTAGTAGCAGGAAAATTAATAAACCAAAGATCCAATTCAGTTTAAATTTACTCTGGTTCAACAACTGAAAGTGATAGACCCTTCAAGAATTTCCAGTCTTAAAAAAAAAAAAGAAAAAGGTTTACTGTCTTAAAGAGCTTCCTCCTAAGATGGCGTCCAGAGGGGTGTAACCATGAGACTTCATGGTAGATGTGAAAAGGATTGTGTTCTTTCCAACTCTGACCTCTCAGCTTCCAGAGTGCTGGCTGCTTCATCATTGTTTGAGGCTGTGTCCTACAGCTAAAGCAGCTTCAGGATTTTGTCTCTCTTGGCTTGGGTCAGGTTCCACAATGCTCCCTAGGTGATGGGGCTTCATCTCAGCTCAGTACCACCAAACCCTGGAGTCCCTTATATACACATCATTCCTCCAGCCTCCTGGACCAGCCCCCGCCCCACTCACCCCCCCTGCTGTGGCACCATCATGCCTTGGTATGGCAGGCCTGTTGGCATGTCTGCTAGCTCTCAATTCAGCAGATACTACATGGGGAATTCAGAGAGCTTGGGAAAGCTAAAACTCAGAGCCTCCCTCTGAAGATGGGATGTGGCCAATCCCTAGGCTGGAATGGGAGCAGCCTGAGAGGTGATATCTTGTAAGGTCCCAAAGAGAAGTGGGCAAACACTTATCTTCTGTCCTTAATTGTCACTGAAGGTGGCCAGTGATGGAAGGGTGCTTGCTGTTGGGCCTGCATACAAACTGCAGGGAGATATCCACCCAAAAAAGGACCGATCTATCTTTTATAATCACGTAAGAGTCAAAAGAGCCCTAAATCTCCTACTGGCAGATAACTTGCAGGAGTGAAAGTGTAACAGCACCCCATTTTTTTTTTTTAAGATTTTATTTATTTGTCAGAGAGAGACAGCTCGAGAGAGAACACAAGCAGGGGGAGCGGGAGAGGGAGAAGCAAGCCTCTGGCAGAGCAGGGAGCCCAATTCGGGGCTCGATCCCAGGACCCTGGGAGCATGACCTGAGCCGAAGGCAGACGCTTAACAACTGAGCCACCCAGGCGCCCCCACCCCAGTCAGTCTTAAGGCTTAACTTGCTTCAAGCTTATGCACTCCTTGCTTGCTAACGTTAAGTCTCTTGATCTGTAGCAGAATTAACCTACTTTCCTTTAGATGTGTAGACAATTGGCCTTGAGGAGTGAAGGACCAAACTGTCCCAGAAGATAAAGCCTGACTACATCCAAAAACAGCTGCTGCTGATGCCAGCAAGTCTGCTCAGGGTCACGTTGACATACAACTAACCACCTGGGCACCTGATTCTCCGGCACGTAGCCCCCTTCCCTTTGCCCATGCCTTCCCCTTTAAAATCCTCGGCCGTCCCCTCAATGGGGAAGATGGTCTTTGAGACCCTCATCCACCATCTTCCCAAGTTGCTGGCTTCCTGAATAAAGCAACCTTTCCCTTCCCACCATCACTTGTCTCTCGAGTATATGATTTTCAAGTGGCGAAATTCAGCTGAACCCGAATTTGGAACTGGTTCTCTGGTAACAAAAGTACATCACTTCAAGGGAAGTGACATGGTCCTTGACTTTCAGAAACTGATGGAATGAACACCTATTAACTAGCTCCCATTTTCTTCCTATTCTGAATTGTCACCTTCTTAGTCCTATGAACCAAACAGTGCTTAACACATGTCAAGTTCAACAAATCACAATATACTGTGGCATGAATGAATAAATTAGAAGTGTTCATCTACAATTCCGTTTCTCTTACTGGTTCAATAAACTTCAAAAAAAACACTTATTGATCACCTGTTGGAAGTTCATCTCTGATTAAAGATATGACAGGAGCGTTTTATTAATATCCCAATGCTCCCATGGAGAACCAAATCCTCTGCCCATTGAAATCCTCTGAGGCTCAACAGCAACATTACAGAAATCAGCACTGGCCAAAGGGGCAAGAGAACTTGTCAGAGTGATAGTGGGGGCTAAAAAAGAATTGAACTCAAATTTCAGAGCCAGAAAAGAGTAGATTTTAGCCAAAGAAAATATTTCTCAAACTCCAGGATGTGACAAATAAGCTTATGGTACCTTCTCTGTAGTAGAAGTAGAGCAATCCAATTTGTCTGATGACAGTCACATGAGCTACAAAATCCCTTTTCTGTTTCTTCTGCACTTACTTCCAGCAGCAGGTACTCACAGCTTCACAAGATGACTCTCCATGTATACACTGGGTCCACTACCAAATGTTTCTCTTCTGTTTGGAATTCTATACACAGAGCTGTGCCCCAATTCCCATGCCTACCTCCTTCCCACTGTCCAACTGCTTTCTTCTGGATCTTTACATCAAGAACTGCAAAAGAGAATAAACCTCTTGGCTTCCACTGACAACACACCTTTGAATCCCTTTCTCATCCCTTCTCCAGATGAGAGGCTTTGGAGGGAGACAAGAGAGGAACATTATTTTTTTCTTTTCCAATTAATTTCCATTTCTTTCAAGTCTGAGTAAACTCTGGGCACAGAGCAACCAGGATGATATGATTATGGAAACTATTAATCTCTCCATCAAAGGAGAGCCAACTCATGGTTACGGAGCAATTGGCACGTTCCTCCAAAGCGCTTCTGCAGCATGATCCTCCTGGTTTCCTTTGGGGCCACAAGAGTTCAGGGTACAACTTCCTAAAGCATAAAATAATCTTTGAGTGCTTCATGAATTGTTGTGAAAAATTGTGTGTTTTCACCCAAGTGCTCTAGAGAGATAGCAAACTCACATTAAAACATGTCTAAACAGAATCAAAGAAAAAAAAAATCTTCTAAGATTTTCAGATTACTGAAGGTTCATCTGAAAATGTGAAATCTGGCTCTTTGAAGACCATTCAGATATCACTTGCTGTGGGCAACAAGCAAAGGGTGCATCTGGAGCAAGAAGTCTCCAAATCACTTTAAATATTGACTACTAAAATCATAAAAACTGTAATTACTTCTAGAACTGATTAGGACAAACAGGACATTATCTGGTTCATCCAAACCTAAAACAAACATTAAAAAAAATTTAGGGAATTCAATTTAGGGACTTTGTTCCACGGTCCACAACATCAGCAGATTTTTTTTCGCCCAATGGTGACAGAGTATAGATTTCTCCATGAGGGGGAGTTAAAGGATTTCTTTCCTCCAGAAGTACTTGCTGATTGGCCAAGTGAATGCTTGCTCCTGGGTACAGGAAAGAAAAGTCCAATGCCAGTGGCACTTTGAGGAAAGCACATTTATGGATTTACAAATACCACCAGCCTTCCAAATACAGTCCCAAAAGAAGAGTGAATTTACAGAGATGCCAAATTCCTCAAATGGTATGGGGTCAACAGACACCACTCAAAACAAAACTATATGATCCTACGTTGACTCAGTGACTTATAATAAAGCCATATACATGCATTTTCTTGAATTATAGACTGTAATAAATATACATTCCCCCATTCACCCACCACGATTTTAATGTACACTCCTTCCTGGAAGCAAGCCCATACTTCAGGAAGTCAAACTCCTCCAGAGAGTAAGAGTCTCTTCAGGGGCGCCTGGGTGGCTCAGTCGTTAAGTGTCTGCCTTCGGCTCAGGTCATGATCCCAGGGTCCTGGGATCAAGCCCTGCATCGGGCTCCCTGCTCGGCGGGAAGCCCGCTTCTCCCTCTGCCACTCCCTCTGCTTGTGTTCCCTCTAAGTAAAATCTTTAAAAAAAAGTCTCTTCATCCTCCCTTCCCACTGTCCCATTGTTGTAATCTGCATGTACAATAGGCCTGACTGAGCAGGAAACTCAGTTTTATGAAGGGACTATTCCCGAAACGTTTCAATTTCTCATGTAATCACATAAACCCTGAACGGTAAGAGGGAAAGCCCATAAAAGTCATTATAAACAGATTCCATGATGTCAAAGGAAAACCAGCTGGTGAAAGAGTTTAATAAGCAGCCCTTTTTTTATTACAATAGGCTTGACGTCATTATTTATTATTTCCAGCACTACAACACAAAGCCATGTGCTACACTGTAGGCCAGGATGAAAAGGATATGTGGACTTTCCTGAGTATTTTAATATCCTCTTATTGACAATAGATAGAAGATCTGAACAAGGACCAGGAACAGGAAATGATTTTAGTGATTTCATTACAGTAATAGGGAAAAGCATTTCCAATGGGCAGGGTTTGGCAGATGGTCTGAGTAAGGCTTCAACTCCTAAACAGCCTGCATGTCAACAAGCCCAGTATTGATATAAGCCCAATATATAATTAATGAGGTGTCCTAGTGAGCAGAAAAGTTTTTATAAATATATGCTGTAGCCTTAGCAGTAGAACACAGGAAGCTGGTATTTCCAAGGTAAATTTAAAACCATTTCATAAGGAAAGGTATTCAGAGGCAGCAAAAGGTATACAGTAGGCTGTAGCTAAAGAGCTCTTGATGTTCTAGTACAAATTATATCTGCAGTGAAGTATCAAGTCTGGTACACCTTCACTTAATTTTCTCTAGTGAAAAATAAATGGAGTTGTAGAATTTTCAGATTCCTGATTTTCATATCTCATTCATAAAACCCTAAAAAGCTTTATAATGTATATTTTGAAATCATGAAGAGTGGTGCTTCCAGCTTTGCTCCTTTTGCTCAAAATTGCTTTGGCTATTTGGAGTCTTTTATGGTTTCACCTGAATTTTAGGATTTTTTTTCTTCTATTTCTGTGGGGGGAAAAAAAAAATGTCCACTAGGATTTTAATAGGGATTGCATTGAATCTATAGACTACTTTGGGTAGTATGAACATTTTAACAATATTAATTCTTCCAATTCATGATCATGGGATGTCTTTCCACTTACTCGTGTCTGCCTCATTTTTTGCGTGTGTTTCATAGTTTTCGGTGTACAAGTCTTTCATCTCCTTGATTAAGCTTATTCCTAAATGTTTTATTTTTTTGATGCTATTAAAAATGGAATTGTTTTAAAACAGACACATAGACCAATGGAACCGAACAGAGAGCCCAGAAATATACCCACACATACACAGTCAACTGATGTCAACAGTGATGCCAAGAATACACCATGGGGAAAGGACAGTCTCTTCAATAAATTGTGTTGGGGAAAACCGGATCACAAAAAGGCAGGAAATTGGACCTTTATCTTACACTATACATAAAAATTAACTCAAAATGGATAAAAATGTAAACATAAGACCCGAAATGGTAAAACTCCACAAAGAAAACAGGGGAAAAGCCTCTTGACATTGGTCTTAAAGATCACTTCTTGAAAAGACACCAAGAACACAGGCAACAGAAGCAAAACTAGGTAAGTGGGACTACAGCAAACTAAAAGCTTCTGCATAACAAAGGAAACAACAACACGAAAAGGCAACCTACGGGATGTAAGAAAATATTTCCAAACCATGTATCTGGTAAAGAGTTAATATCCAAATATATAGGGAACTTCAACTCAATAGCAAAAAACCCAAATAACTTGAATAAAAATTTAGGCAAGGAACTGAATAGACATTTCTCCAAAGACATACAAATGCCCACGGGTATATAAAAAGGTGCTCAACATCACTAATCGCCAGGGAAATGCAAATCAAAACCAAAATGAGGTATCACTTCACTTCATACCAGTTATAGGATGGCTATTATTAAAACAAAGATAACAAGTATTGATGAAGATATGTAGAAAAGGAAACACTTGTGTACAGTTACTGTGAATGTAAACTGGTGCAGCCACTATGGAAATATTACAGAGTTTCTCCAAAAAAAAAAAAAAAATAGGGGTGCCTGGGTGGCACAGTTAAGCGTCCAACGCTTGGGTTTAGGCTGATAGTGATCTCAGGGTCGTGAGATTGAACCTTGCATCAGGATTCTCTTTCCCTTTCCCTCTGCCCCTCCCACTAGTGTGCACGCTCTCTAAAATAAATAAATCTTAAAAAAAGATAAAAATAAAAATAAAACTACCATTGATCCAGTCTTACTTCTGAGTATATATCCAAAGGAACTGAAATCAGGATCTCAAAGAGACTGCACTCCCATGTTCATGGAAGCATTATTCACAAAGCCAAGACAGGGGTCAAACCTAAATGTCCACCGACAAACAGATGAAGAAAAGGAGGTATATACATACAAAGGAATATTATTAAGCCTTAAGAAAGAATGGTACATTCAAGTACTCTGCTTACATCAGCTCCATTAACATTCTATTGGCCATTATGTAAATACATAAAGAGGGGCTAGGAATTTTAGAGAGGGTAGAGAAAAAGGACTTTGGTCTTTCCTGTATTGTTAGGATTTTAAAATATTAAAAGGGTGTTCATATATTACTAGTGCTAATAAAAAAAATCTGTCAGCAAATAAAAAAGCAAAAACAAGTAATTCAGAAAAAAACTTAAAAAAAATTTTAAAAAAAGTTTAAATCCCTTTAATTTAAATTTTCTAGCAGTCACATTTTAAAAAGGTAGAAAGAGATAGACACTGGGGAGGGTATGTGCTCTGGTAAGCGCTGTGAATTGTGCAAGACTGTTGAATCTCAGATCTGTACCTCTGAAACAAATAATGCAATATATGTTAAGAAAAAAAAAAAGAAGAAGAAGAAGAAGGTAGCAGGAGGGGAAGAATGAAGGGGGGAAATCAGAGGGGTAGATGAACTATGAGAGACGATGGACTCTGAAAAACAAACTGAGGGTTCTAGAGGGGAGGGGGGTGGGAGGATGGGTTAGCCAGGTGAATGGTATTGAGGAGGGCACGTTCTGCATGGAGCACTGGGTGTTATGCACAAACAATGAATCATGGGACACTAACATCAAAAACTAATGATGCAATGTATGGGGATAATATAAGAATAAAAAAATTAAAAAAACAACAACAATATTTAAAAAAAAAAAGGTAGAAAGAAAAGATCTAATTAAATTTAATAATGTATTTAACTGAATATATCCAAAATATTATCATCTAACATGTAATCCATATAAAACATTGATGAAAAATATTATATTAATTTTTTCTTATTACTTTTCCTAAAGTCCAATATGTATTTTACATTTATCTCAATTTGGACTAGTCACATTTCAAATGTTCAGTAGCCATGTGTCTAGAAGATACTGCACTTGGTAACAGCATAGGTGTAGACCCTTAACAGAGTACTATATCGAAACATCACAGACACAGACACACACACACACACACATGCACACTCATGTACATTAAAGTAAAACCTTCATTAACCAAAATGAGTGAAGAATGAAAAATTCAAATTGCTTTTAACTGACTTATGTTTGGGGTCGGGTTTTTTTCTGTATCTACATATATATCTGTAGATATATAGATATAGAGACGTATATCAATCCTCTTCCTTTTCTTAAGTATTATTTAGCATAAATAATTATATATTTAATCTGTAATTAAATATATATTTAAACAAGTGAAAAAAGAAAAACAACATTCTATTGGCCAAAGCAAAGTGACTTGGCCAAGCTCAAAGTCAAGGAATAGAGAAGTATACTCTACCCACTGAGAAGCCATGGCATGAGAATGGGTACACAGAGGTGAAGACTTGAGAACAATGATCAAATCTGCTACAGGTGGCATGACTTCTTCTATCTGTACCTCCATGCAGACCACAGGGGGAGGGTTAGAAGGAGAATATGTCTTATGTGTTCGGTCTTAAGTGGTTTAGATACTTCAAAAATCAAACTCAAATTTAATTAGAAATAGAACAACACATTTAACAAATGTTAACCCAAATTCATTTTGTACGTTTCCCCTCCTCTGAAACAAAGGAGAGGAAAAGTTTGAATTTCATTTGTACATATAATTCCAAATTTCATATTTAGGCTCCTGGAGAAAGCACCATTCCAAAATATCACTGTAATTGATGCAAGCCCTAAAATTTGGGGGTGTTTCATCAGACTGTATAGCATTAAAAAAGATTTAGCATTGCTCATATCTTATTTCTTTAAAAAACTATTATAATTTATAGATCTAGGAAGTTTTCAAACATATCAAAATATGAAAATATACACTACCTCATGATGTTACAAGAGCAATTAGTAACAAGCAACAGGGCAGGTCCAAGGCAGAAATGGGAAACAGAAAATAACCTGGACATCCCTAGCCTTCCCAGGTATATCCTTTTTCTCCCTTGGTGACTTACCCACTTTGAGTAGCACTCTTTCCCTCAGACACCCAGGGGCCTTTGGCTTCCCTTTTAAAATGTGCTCCTTCTAAAACAAAATGTGAAACTCATATGCACTGAAGTAGACATGACTAATAACTCGGGAGTATTACTCTTACAGGGTTATTTGTACCTTTCACCCTAGACTTCAAGAGATAAAATGGAATTCTTAGCACTGGCTAGCAGGTGTCACTGGCGGATCCACTGAGCTCACCCTACAGGAACTGGTAGCTTTATCTTTTAGAAACTAACAACAGAAGAGGGATGAGCTCCGGCCAGCCAGTTTGGGCTCAACCACCAGGCCGACACCTGTGCAGATGGGCCATAAAGTGTCCAGCAGTCACCTCCGCCTCATCATACTGTTAAGATCTCTGCTCCAGAAGGACCACAGCTTCCTCACGTAACACACGATGCATGTATACGCATAATTTCTAAGTATGTATGTGTTACCTTATACCCGCCTGTGCTTGCAATGATAAAGGTCTCCTTTTGAATATTCTCTCAAATCCTAAATAAAAAGAGCTCCCTTACCCCTGCTCAGGGATCACAGCTTTGGAAGTTATTCTCCATGATCTCCTTATCTGCTGCAAAGAAAGATTACTTTGTGTGACAGCTCCACCTGGTGTAGTCTCTATCTGTAATTCACCAAGGAGCGAACTCACATTAGTTTGCTTACACAGGCAGAAGTGACTTTATCAGTGCCTTTGAGATCTCATGTTAAATACAGTCACATTCAGCCTAGGATACAGTCAGCATGGAAGACATGAAAACATACAGCGTAAACCTACTAATCAGAGTTAACAGTAAGATTTTAACTTTATAGTTCAATTCAGGAATATTTTCAACAATAAAACTACCTCCAAACTGGAAATTGTATATCTCTTCTCAGTAATGCTACATCCTGTGTTGTATCAGCAAAAGTCACTTAAGGAAAAAATACAGAATGTGAGACAAGACCAATGCTTTATAGCTAGAAACATTCTGCAACAAATTGAGAAGGGGCTGTATACCAGAAGAGGGGTTTAAGAAGCTGGCTTTGCCGTCTGCCTTCGGCTCAGGTCATGATCCCGGGATCCTGGGATCGAGTCCCGCATCGGGCTCCCTGTTCCGCGGGAAGCCTGCCTCTCCCTCTCCCATTCACCCTGCTTGTATTCCCTCTCTCGCTGTGTCTTTCTCTGTCAAATAAATAAATAAAAAATCTTTAAAAAAAAAAAAAAGAAGCTGGCTTTGCTTTTTAAGCAAAGAGGAGGCTGGAAAGATAGCAGAGTAAGAGGATCCGAAGCTCACTTCATTCCACAAATAAAAGTAGATTAACAGTCACATCAGCATAAATAATCCAGAAGACTACTTGAAGACTGGTAAAAAGCTAGCTTTGTTATTCATAACTGCTATTTTCTTAAAATCTGTTAAAAACTCTACTTTTAGTAATTAAATAATGCAAACTGCTTCCCTAAGAATACCTGGCTGACTCTCTGCACAGATCTTATTCTGAAGCACTATACAGAAGGATAAAAGTGTATGTGAGGGAAATCACATATAGCAGTTTGCATAGAGTCTGAAGTTCTTAAACTCCCTCCATCTTAATTTTAAAAAATCTGAATTCACTCAAGCAAATCATTTTCTGAAGTTCAACCACTGGAATTATGCTGAAAACAGAGAATTTGCTAATGTGCTTTCATCAAAATGTTACATTTCTATCTTCATATCTTCATACTTACAATGGTGGAAAAAAAATTAAACTGTAACAAAGCTAAACTAAAAACTGCTTTTGAGATGTTACTGACAATCTGGCATACAATCGACACAATAATCACAAAAGGCCAAGATGTGCTTTCATACTGTAGCAAACAGATTGACTAACAAAAAGCCTTTCACAACTCCCTTCTCTTTGTGCCTTTCTCTCTTATAGACCCTAGAAAGAAAAAAAAAAAGACTTGATTTCAAATAGCTGCAGTTAGAGATGGCCATCAGCACAGGTCTGGGCAATGAGGGCTGTCCTTTACAAATATGAAGGTAAAAGACTTCCAAGGACAAAGCCCCTTTACCTCTTTCTCCTTTTTCCTGTCTGAATGGGGATGGAAGGTCCAGAGATGTTATAGCCCCCTTAACCACAAGACAATAAACATGAACCCAAAGGTCTACACGCAGACCACATGGAGAGGTAAAAGGAATCAGGAACCCTGAGTCAACAAATCAGGTCTAGACTGCCCACCCCTGGATTTCTTATTGCATTAGATACATAAAAGCTATCGGATTAAGCTCCTGGAGTAGGATTTTCTACTAGTGCAGCTGAATGTACTTGCAGTAGAGACAAATACAAAATTCTCATGTAAAAATCAAATTAAGAGGTATGAAGAAAATCCTTACCAAGTCCTCAACCTAGAAAGAACTTCAATAATAAGCTTGTATTTTTGTTTTCTTTACCTAAAGAGGACAACTAACACAAAACCATACAAAAAAAAGTGTGTGTGTCGGAGGGGTGGATTTGACAGCAGAGGAAACTCCAGATTCCAATGCCAAATGAAAGTGAGAGAAGACTGGGGCAAGGAGAAGGTATATATGGGTGTAATGCCAGACAATGAGGGTCCAATAAGCTTTACCTAACATCTCCTATATGTCAATTTCAACTGTCAGTGCAGAAAGTAAAGTTCATTTATTGGGCAGAGGAAACTCCAATTCAGTGTTTTAAGTCTGAGCCTTCAAACTTGGGAAGTTTTCCTCCAGGTCATCAGCAAGAGTTTTATCAACTTCACGTAGAATTTTGAGAAAGTCTTCTATCTGTGGGTCAAACAAAAGAACCAAATAAATATAAGTAGAAGAAAAGGTGATTTTAAGATACCAGTTTTTGACTATGAAAATGTTCTACCTATGGTTTCTAAAGAGTCCAAAGGAAAAAAAATGTTGACAGATCCCCGATGACAATAATAGTCATTCCCAAGTAGTCCTCTGAAACATCAAAGAAGTGACTAGCCCTTACCATTTAGTTTTACTCTTGAACTACGATTTATACTCCCACCGCTTCCCCTTTAGCATCCATTACTGAGTTTTATTACTCTCCTCCTTGCTGACATGGCCTCTCACTCCCATGTTCCATACTTCATTTTCCTAAAAAAGTTCCTATTTTAAAATTGCTTCTGGGTGCCTGGGTGGCTCAGTCAGTTAAGTGACTGCCTTCAGCTCAGGTCATGATTCTGAAGTCCCGGGATCGAGTCCCGCATCAGGCTCCCTGCTCAGCGGGAAGCCTGCTTCTCTCTCTACTGCTCCCCCTACTTGTGTGTGCGTGCTCTCTCTCTCTCTAATAAATAAAATCTTTAAAATAAATAAATAAATAAATAAAAATTGCTTCTAATGGTAGCAGATGTGATGGAATTTGAAGAATCAAAAACCTAATGATCATTTCTACCCAAGAATCTTATCTTTGCTAATGTATATGCTATTTACTTTATAACAGTAAGAGGTTCAATAAATTCAGTGTTGATGGCTTTCTCTTAAAATTACAATCACTATTCAGGTTAGTCCCACGAATTACCCTGCAGTCATCTATCTGAGAACGCACTAAGTCATGTGAATTGTATGCATGATCTTTTTTGACAATGGCCTCAGGGATCAAATACTTACATAAAAACATATAGTAATCCTATAAAACTCAGCCACCTATACATTTACTCATACTCACCACCGGACTATAAAAAGGAAGAAGGTTTTGAAATGCACAGGAACACTTCTGTTTGCTTAACTGGCCCTCCTTTAGTCCCTGAGCCACAGTCTCCTAAAACAAGCAAAGATTTAATGTTAAAAAAGGAAAATTTCTAAAGCTTTATTTGATTAATAAATATCAGTATATGTAATTCCCTACTGAGCCTACGGGCATTTCAAATGTCTCAAACTGAGCCCAGCATCATTCCTCCTTATGTAACCCAAACACTGTTCCCCTGTAGTCCTTATTTTAGGAAAGGGCATTGCCACCTACCCACCCGGCTACACAAAGCAGTAACCTAAGATACAGCCAAGACTTTTCCTCCTCCTCTGCTGCTGACTCCTCCTCCTAAGAGTTTAATTCTACTCTACTAAATCTCTCTCATCCCTCCTCTTCTTTCCATCCACCCTTCCACTATTTGGGGTCTTATTATTTTTCAGATTACTCTTGAAGATTACCACCCACAAGAGCCTGTTGGTTGGTCTGCAGGACTCCAACCTCAACTCTCTCTAATCCTCTCTCTTGCTTCTGGAGTAATCTTTCTGAACACACCATCTCACTTGATCCTTAAAACAAAAACCTTCAGTAGCTCCTCAGTCCTCAAAATTAAATTCGTATTCCATTAGGTATGGCACATAAGAATTTTCACGACATATCCCTGGTTTATTCTCAGTCCACCCTTCTTCTATATTCCTGTCACTTAAAAATAAACATCCCTCCAAAAACAAAAAGCACGCATAAAGATGACAGCAAACAATGGGAAAAACACCTGCAATGAATACGCAAAAGATAGTATTATTGCCCAAAGAGTTCATATAAATAATCAAAATAGATAAATTTATAAAGTAGGAAATACAAATGATATACAAATATATGGGGGGGGTGCCCAGGTGGCTCAGTCAGTTAAGCATCTGCCTTCGGCCCAGGTCATGATCCCAGGGTCCTGGGATTGAGCCCTATGTCGGGCTTCCTGCTCAGCAAGGAGTCTGCTTCTCCTTCTCCCTCTGCCCTTCCCCCCACCCAATCCCCGACTCATGCTCTCTCTCTCTCCAATAAATGAAATCTAAAAGAAAAAAACCCCACAAATATATGGAAAGATGTTCAATCTTACTAATAAAAAATACAAATCAAAATAAGGCACAATTTCTCACCTACTGAACTTTACTTGATATAAAAATTATAATATCTGATAATAAGAGTCCTATAAAGCCAACATTTTCACATAAACCCATTTGGGCAATATGCAGCCCTAAGCCTCAGCCATCTTCACTTGTACAATGCCAAGCCCAGTAAGCTAACTTCCAAAAATCTATGCTCAAGTAATAACCCTTATCTAGAAAAGCAGAACAGTTGATCAAAAAAACAAATTACCAGAATAACAGAAACTTCTATTAAGAAATATTCTTAAAAAAATGTAATGAATGTACATATATTCTTCATAGTTATATTTACATTTTTTTCTAAAATACATGGATAGAAATACACTCAAAGTAAGAATATGCTAAAAATCCAAGCATATTCAGGAAGAATATCCCCTAAAATAAGTCTGCAGTAAATTATGAAAACTGATTTTTTTGACAAATTGGGTATTAAACTGGTTTTCACTGAAATGTCTTTCAGTAAATTTAGTCTGGAAAAGGGCTCATAACATAATGTTTAGTGAAAAAAGCAGTCTATAAAATTCTATATACTGGATTTTAAGTATGTGAAAAACATATATAAACACACCAAACCATATCAGTTGCTGCGTTAAGATTATAAAGTTACAGTGATAATTTTTTCTTTCTCTATTTCCCCAAATTTATGTAATATAATTATTTTATTTATTTATTTGTTTGTTTTAAAGATTCTATTTATTTATTTGAGAGAGAGCGAGTAAGAAAGCACAAGCAGGGGGAGCGGCAGAGGGAGAAGAGGCAGACTGCCGCTGACCAGGGAGCCCGAAGTGGGGCTTGATCACAGGACCCCAGGATCATGACCTGAGCCGAGGGCAGACACTTAACTGACTGAGCCACCGAGGTGCCCCTTTATGCTACTTTTTCAGTGATAATAAAGTTTGGAGCATTAAGCAATCCATACTTTCTTTTGCTGAAGAAACCATCAATACTTCTTTCCTACCTTTGTTAAAACCTGAAAAATATTAGAAAGAAATTCACATGAAATATCCTTTAAGATTTTCAAGTGGAAATCATCTTGGGTTAAGTCAGACTTTTTCGTTTCTTCCATGTTAGAATCTGCCGAGTTCTCTGGTTTCTTCTGACAATGTTCCATGTTTTGTAAGACACGAATCAGGCTGTCAATTAGAGGAAGATCTAGTGTACAAACAGATCAAGAAGCACAGAATTAGCCAGTTAAATTTGGTCTCTTCTCCTTTTGTTGACTGATTCATTCATTCAAAAGTACTGAACAACTTACTAGTGGCTAGAGAGTTCACTTAGGTAGCAGAGATGTGACCACAAACAAGATCGTTGAGGCCTCAGCCTTCAAGAGGTTCACATTTTCATACTCTCAAAAAAACTAATGAATAAAACAGATCATCTCAGCTTTGAGTGAGTTCTATCCATGAAGGAAATTAAAGGGGAATATAATAAAGCAGCCAGCAGGGGAAGCTCTTTGAGGTGAGAACTACAGGAGAAGCATCAATGCAAAGAGCCCAGGAAAACAGTTCAGGGAGCGAGAACAGTAAGTGCAAAAAGCCTCAAAGAGGAAATGGTCTGAGGAACAAAAAGGCCACTGTGTCTCAAGCCAAGTGAAGCAAGGGGGAAGGAGGGCACAAGACAAGTTTAGAGAGCTAGGCAAGAGTCCTATATCATGCAGTGCCTTGGAGGCCACAGTGAGAAAGAATTTGAATTTTAAACTTTATCATCAACATCTTAAACAAAGCTTTTAAATTATGTATTTCTTTAAGTTTCAAAAACAGTATGATTTCCTAAAAGACTGAATAATCATTTTAACTAGCCTATAATAAAAACTGAACATAAAAAATAAAACTAAAGCTCAGACTCAAAATATATGTTATAGCATGAACATGTTAAAGGGTAGCACACTTTGATTCAGCTACTGATTCTAACCCTACCGTTTCTGCATCACAATTACAAATCCAGGAAACAATATTTTCTGTAGCACTGAATCCAGTATATTGATTTTAAACAATCTAACTTTACTTCCAGATTTAGGTCATTTATAGTACATGAAAATGACATTTTTAAAAAATTAAGGAAATAAAAAACTAGGGAAATCATATCCCTTATTTCTCAACTCAATGTCACCTCTTCAAAGTACCCAGTCTGCAGGGCTGCTTTACTATATTCCCCTTGGATTTATTCCCACTCTCTTCCTTCTGTTGTCCCTAACTCTTGACTCTAACACTCAGTTCTTTACTCCACCATGTCCCTGTAGGTCACATCAATCTATACTATACCATTCTTCTCTCTTTCTCACCCCCAGCCCTAACTCTGCAACGCCCTTATTCAAGGCGTAGGGCAGGATGAGTGGGTGAGGGCTATTTAGTGGTTTTCAGTTCAAAGAGCATCTTTACACTTTCTCCCCCAATCATAAAAATCATACATAAAGTTTGAGGAAGTTGAGGGGTGAGGGAGATAAAAAACACCCAGTCCCATAACATCAAGAAAGAGCTTTTTCCACGCTGGAGGCCGGGCCACAGCCCTTCGGAGGAGGAGCAAGATGGCGGAGGAGTAGGAAACCTAAATTTCTTCTGGTCCCAGGAATTCAGCTAGATAGGTATCAAACCATTCTGAACATCTACAAACTCAACAGGAGATCGAAGAAAAGAATAGCAGCAACTCTCTGAACAGAAAAGTGACCACTTTCTGGAAGGTCTCTTCTGATTTGTTTAGTGTATATTTTTCTGGGGTCACTGTTACCCTGTTAGCATTTTGTTCTCTCATTCATCTATTCTCCTCTGGACAAAATGACAAGACGGAAAAAATCACCTCAAAAAAAAAAAAAGATTAAGAGGCAGTATCGACTGCCAGGGACCTAATCAATATGGACATTAGTAAGATGTTGGAACTAGAGTTCAGAATGACAATTATAAAGATACTAGCTGGGCTTGAAAAAAAAGCATGGAAGATACTAGAGAAACCTTTTCTGGAGAACTAAAAGAACTAAAATCTAACCAAGTCGAAATCAAAAAGGCTATTAATGAGGTGCAATCAAAAATGGAGGCTCTAACTGCTAGGATAAATGAGGCAGAAGACAGAATTAGTGATATAGAAGACCAAATGATGGAAAATAAAGAAGCTGAGAAAAAGAGAGATAAACAACTACTGAATCACGAGGGCAGAATTTGAGAGATAATTGATACCATAAGACAAAACAGTATTAGAATAATTGGGATCCCAGAAGAAGAAAGAGAGGGGCAGAAGATATATTGGAGCAAATTATAGCAGAGAACTTCCCTAATTTGGGAAAGGAAACAGGCATCAAAATCCAGGAGGCACAGAGGAACCCCCCTCAAAATCAATAAAAACAGGTCAACACCCTGACATCTAATAGTAAAACTTACAAGTCTCAGAGACAAAAAGAAAATCCTGAAAGCAGCTCGAGACAAGAGGTCTGTAACCTACAATGGTAGAAATATTAGATTGGCAACAGACCTACCCACAGAGACCTGGCAAGCCAGAAAGGACTGGCGTGATATATTCAGAGCACTAAATAAGAAAAATATGCAGCCAAGAATACTATATCCAGCTAGGCTGTCACTGAAAATAGAAGGAGAGATAAAAAGCTTCCAGGACAAACAAAAACTAAAGGAATTTGCAAACACGAAACCAGCCCTACGAGAAATACTGAAAGGGGTCCTCTAAGCAAAGAGACAGCCTAAAAGTAACATAGACCAGAAAGGAACAGAGACAACAGTCACCTTACAGGCAATACAATGGCACTAAATTCCTATCTTTCAATAGTTACCCTGAATGTAAATGGGCTAAATGCCCCAATCAAAAGACAAAGGCTATCAGACTGGATTAAAAAACAAGACCCATCGATATGCTGTCTGCAAGAGACTCATTTTAGACCCAAATCACCTCCAGATTGAAAGTGAGAAGGTGGAAAACCATATACCATGCTAATGGACATCAAAAGAAAGCTGGAGTGGCAATCCTTATATTAGACAAATTAGATTTTAAACCAAAGACTATAATAAGAGATGAGGAAGGACACTATATCAAACTTAAAGGGTCTATCCAACAAGAAGATCTAACAATTGTAAATATCTATGCCCCTAACATGGGAGCAGCCAATTATATAAGCCAGTTAATAACAAAATCAAAGAAACACATCGACAACAATACAGTAATAGTAGGGGACTTTAACACCCCTCTCACTGAAATGGACAGATCATCTAAGCAAAAGATCAGCAAGGAAATAAAGACTTTAAATGACACACTGGACCAAATGGACTTCACAGATATATTCAGAACATTCCATCCCAAAGCAACAGAATACACATTCTTCTCTAGTGCACATGGAACATTCTCCAGAATCGATCACATCCTAGGTCACAAATCAGGTGTCAACTGGTACCAAGAGATTGGGATCATTCCCTGCATATTTTCGGACCACAATGCTTTCAAACTAGAACTCAATCACAAGAGGAAAGTCGGAAAGAACTCAAATACATGGAGGCTAAAGAGCATCCTACTAAAGAATGAATGGGTCAACCAGGAAATTAAAGAATTAAAAAAATTCATGGAAACCAATGAAAATGAAAACACAACTGTTCAAAATCTTTGGGATGCAGCAAAGGCAGTCCTAAGAGGAAAGTATATAGCAATACAAGCCTTTCTCAAGAAACAAGAAAGGTCTCAAATACACAACCTAACCCTACACCTAAAGGAGCTGGAGAAAGGCAAATAAAGCCTAAACCCAGCAGGAGAAGAGAAATAATAAAGATCAGAGCAGAAATCAGTGAAATAGAAACCAAAAGAACAGTAGAAAAGATCAATGAAACTAGGAGCTGGTTCTCCGAAAGAATTAATAAGACTGATAAACCCCTGGCCAGATTTATCAAAAAGAAAAGGGAAATGACCCAAATAAGTAAAATCATGAATGAAAGAGGAGCAATCACAACCAACACCAAAGAAATACAATTATAAGAACATATTATAAGCAACTATATGCCAGCAAATTAGATAACCTGGAAGAAATGGATGCATTCCTAGAGATGTATAAACTACCAAAACTGAACCAGGAAGAAACAGAAAACCTGAACAGACCTGTAACCATTAAGGAAATTGAAGCAGTCATCAAAAATCTCCCAACAAACAAGAGCCCAGGGCTAGATGGCTTCCCAAGGGAATTCTACCAAACATTTCAAGAAGAATTAATACCTATTCTTCTGAAACTGTTCCAAAAAATAGAAATGGAAGGGAAACTTTCAAACTCATTTTATGAGGCCAGCATTACCTTGATCCCAAAATCAGACAAAGACCCCATCAAAAAGGAGAATTACAGACCAATATCCCTGATGAACATGGATGCAAAAATTCTCACCAAGATACTAGCCAATAGGATCCAACAGTACATTAAAAGGATTATTCACCATGACCAAGTGGGATTTATCCCTGGGCTGCAAGGTTGGTTCAACATCCGTAAATCAATCAACGTGATACAATACATTAATAAAAGAAAAAACAAGAACCATATGATCCTCTCAATAGATGCAGAAAAAGTATTTGACAAAGTACAGCATCATTTCTTGATCAAAACTCTTCAGAGTATAGGGATAGAGGGTACATACCTCAGTATCATAAAAACCATCTATGAAAAACCCACAGCAAATATCATTTTCAATGGGGAAAAACTGACAGCTTTCCCCCTAAGTAAAGGAATACGGCAGGGATGTCCACTATCACCACTGCTATTCAACATAGTACAAGTCCTAGCCACAGCAATCAGACAACAAAAAGAAATAAAAGGCATCCAAACTGGCAAAGAAGAAGTCAAATTCTCACTCTTTGCAGATGATATGATACTTCATGTGGAAAACCCAAAAGACTCCACCCCAAAACTGCAAGAACTCATACAGGAATTCAGTAAAGTGGCAGGATATAAAATCAATGCACAGAAATCAGTGGCATTCCTATACACCAATAACAAGACGGAAGTAGAGAAATTAAGGAGTCAATCCCATTTACAATTGCACCCAAAACCATAAGATACCTAGGAATAAATCTAACCAAAGAGGCAAAGGATCTGTACTCAGAAAACTATAAAATACTCATGAAAGAAATTGAGGAAGACACAAAGAAATGGAAAAAATGTTCCATGCTCATGGATTGGAAGAATA